AACTTTGAGTTTTACATCTCGGCAATGCGGTCTGATTCTTTTGTTAGTATGAATGGTTTGTATTAATTCTCCAAGCTGTAGTATCAGGCTCTTAATTCCTTTCAAAAGGGCACTATTGCTATTGCATTATAGGTTTTGAAAGACTTAAAATGTAGGAGTAATCTCTGTCTTGTGGAACTGTACATCAGTCTCAATCACTCTGTTGGTATTTCTCTCTGTCTAATACCTTGCGAGTCACCGGGGGGGGGGGGCTGGGAGTTTATGGTAATTATTTGCGTACTCGGAGAACCTAAGCTTGATTTCCATGCAGGGAGAATTTTTATCGAGTATAGTATTTGTCTTTCATATAAGACGTGGTATCTCTCGCAGTCCGGTTGGCCCTGACAGGTAGAGTTGAATCCGCCTCCTAGATGATCTAAACTGTGCCGCCAGACCACAGACCCCGATAACCAAGGTTCGGATGGTTTGAGTTTGAGTTGATAAGGGAGCTTTCAGGGTCTTTCCATTCATTGTTCTCAGTTTCTTCTTAAATGTAAATTAGAGTTCGTTGCACCAGAAGTATAGTAATATCTATAATATTATTATAGCTCAGATAGTGAGAGATATTGGCGTCTGATGTGCTCTAACTTGTCGTATATTATAGAAGACATGAGTTCGATTCCTGAGAGGTTACACAATGTTTATCAATTATCCTTTCTGTCAGCTGAAACAAAATATCCTTTTCCGCTTAGGTTAGTCTTGACAGGCAGAGCCGAGGCATCCTGCCCCCTGAATGGTCAAAATTGTTTCGATATTTGTGTAAACTACGCACAAGTCTAATAATAATCATCATCATCATCATCATCCGGTGCCTTGCGACTGGCGTGGGCGATCATAGACCCCCACTTCACTGTCTTGCGTTGCAGCAATGGTGTCTGTTATTTTTGCTGCTACTAGCCATGTTGTCATCTTGTCCAGTATCTTTTCCCCCTGTCTGCCTCTGCCTCTCTTTCCATCAAACTTGCCTTTTGTTACAATATTCTCCAATGCTTCTTTCCGCATTGTGTGTCCGAAGAAATTTGCCTGTCGCTTTCTTATATTCGTCATAAGCTGTCTTCTACAAATTGCTTCAACCAAGACTTCTTCATTTGTTTTTCTAGCTGTCCATGGGATACGTAGCTTGCGTCTTATGAGCCACAACTCTGTCGCCACAATTGTTCTTTCCAGCTGTTTATTGATTGTCCATGCTTCGCACCCGTATAATAGGAATTGCTCGATGTAATTTTTCAGTTCTCTTTCTCTCGTTTCCAGTGACAGATTGATGTTTGTTAGTATCTGTTTCATTTTGTGGAAGGTTGCTTTTGCTTGGCAAAATAATAATAATAATAATAATTATTATTATTATTATTATTATTATTATTATTATTATTATTATTATTATTATTATTATTATTACTATTATTATCATTTTTTTCCATAGTACTCGTTATGTTCATAATGTCATGCGTATATAATACTAGCTGGGCCCCCTTTCGATTAAATGAATTATCGATACATTAACATCAACTGAATATCATTGGTCTACTATATTTACACTCTACTGGAATGGAGCAATATCTTGAGAGATAAGTGACACGTGTGTTTCCAAGTTGTTAAATATATAATAGATGCATATATTGATTCTCTATTCCACTTTCGTGGTTTACACTCCACATTTCAAAGGTGTGGAATGAGTGCGCAATCATTGTGAACGGAAGTCTCACTTGTTCACAATGGCGTCTAAGAAGACATACTTTCCCGAGATTAGATCTAAACGAAACTAATGAAAAACTAAAAATTAAGCTACAGTGACTTCAGACTCCTTAGCAAAACTGAGCACCCTTAAATGATTCTGAATCACAGTTATTTTTTTCAAATTCGAAAGGTAAGTGGTTCCAAAGTTTTAGGTGGCGAAAGTGACGGACTTTCACAAATTATGATATAGAGTCTAGATCTAGATCTAGATCTAGATTGTAGATATCGTTATCGGTTATGTTATGATGTATAAATGCTTGCTCACGTGTCAGCATTAATCTAAGAGTGTGTGTATCTACGTTTATAAACTCGCATTTTGTGTTAAGATGAAGATGTTGTTTGGTAAATACACCTAGATCTAGACCTGTATTGTACAGATATGAGTGGGAAAAAATTACGAGTACCTGCTGTCTTCTTCTTCTTCTTCTTCTTCTTCTTCTTCTTCTTCTTCTTCTTCTTCTTCTTCTTCTTCTTCTTCTTCTTCTTCTTCTTCTTATTATTATTATTATTATTATTATTATTATTATTATTATTATTATTATTATTATTATTATTATTATCATCATCATCATCATCATCATCATCATCATCATCATCATTAT